GGGGGCGCTCTGAGCCGCCCCTGCGCCTCCGTGGTGACGCGCTGAGCAGCCTTATCCACGGCCGCCTAGTGGCCCTGCCTCTCTGAGCCGGGCTGCTACCCCGAGGGGACGGAGTGTTTCCACATGTGTGAGGAGCGGCACACAGGTGGCCAGCAGTGCGGCCATTTCTCCTCTCACACCAAGTCGCCAGTGTGAAGTGACGGCGCTCATTTCCGTGTGGATCGCAGCCCGCACGCGAGCCATTGGGGGGGCTGGGGGTCTGCAGCCCCTGGGCCGCAGGAGACGGCTCCGCAGTCAGAGGTGCCGTGGGGCTGGGGTTGAACGGAGGTCCCAGCTCAGAACGGTGCCTCCCACGCGGTCAGGTCCTCCTGAGCCTGGAGCGTCCCAGCACATCTGACCGAAAGGGGTCAGGGCCCTGGGAGAGGCAGGAGATGGGAGGCCTGGGGGTGGGGAGGCCGCCGGGCCGACACCGACACTGACACCGGTGTGACACCGCGCCTCCTTCACCCTCGGTTCCTTATCTCCACAGAACAGGCTCCGGCGCCTGGGAGCAGCTTCCAGGTCAAAGGAAGCGCTGCTGGTTGTGGGAATGAGTCGTGGCTCCTGGGCAGCGCCCAGCGCAGGCGCCCGCTCCCCATGGAGGGCCTCTCCTCCGCCCGTGGGGGTGCTTTTGTCTCTTTTCCGGGCCTTGAGCCCTGGCTGCAGGCTCTCCGCAGCGCTCTCCTCAGCGTGTCCTGGGCCCTGGGGGGGTGCTTTTGTCTCTTTTCCGGGCCTTGAGCCCCGGCTGCAGGCTCTCCTGGCGAGGAGAAGGCGGTCCTCTGAGCAGCCTGGGAAACACTCACTCGTTCTTTTTCCCCTGTTTCTGTGCCAGTTCCGATACAAGAAGCGGGTGTACAAACAGTCCCATCTGGACGAGAAGCAGCTGGCCAAGCTTCACACCAAGGTAGGGGCTCAGCGGCCACCGCACTGTCGTCTGCGGCATCTTCTTCTGAGCTCAGGGCGGCTCTGCAGGTGGAGGTTCTTCTCCCCGCCCGACCTAACCACGCTCCACCTGGGATCCGCGGCAGAAAGC